TTGCGAAACAGGGTTCGCATTGCGAACCCTTCATAATTTCCCAGCTTTCAATTGCGATGGAAATCTTCGCATTTGCGAAGAATGCTGCCCAGGCGTAGTCTCGCATTTGCGAGGCATGACTCGCATTTGCGAGGCTGGCTTCGCAAATGCGAAGCCTGCAGGTCAGTTCACACCAGCAACTTTTAAGTTCAAAAATGCACCCCGTGGCCTATCGAAAACTCACCCGAGCCCTCGGGGCTCCAAACCAAATATACACATAACCTCAAAAACATTCTACGGACTTATTCGTGCGATCAAATCGCCAAAATAACATCATAAACATCGAATTAAACCTCAAAATCCAAGAATTCTTTCAAACTTCATAAAACATCAAATTTTTCAATTTAGGTCCGAATCACGTCAAACGACGTCCGTTTTCAACCAAATTTCACAAGAATGACTTAAACCATATATAAGACCTGTACCAGGCGCCAGGACCAAAATACGGGCCCGATACCAACACGTTCTAATCAATTTTTACTTCCAATTTCCTTAAACAATTTCAGAAAACAATTTTACTAAAAAATTTATTTCTCGGGCTTGGGACCTCGGAATTCGATTCCCGGCATACGCCCAAGTCCCATATTTTTCTACGGACCCTCCGGGACCGTCAAATCACGGGTCCGGGTCCGTTTACCCAAAACGTTGAGCAAGGTCAAATTTATTCATTCTAAAATCAAAACTTAGCATTTTTCACAGAATTTCATATTTAAGCTTTCCAGCTACGCGCCCGGACTGCGTACGCAAATCGAGGCAACTGTAAATGAGATTTTCAAGGCCTTGGAGTCATAGAATTCAATTAAAAACAGGTGATGACCCCTTTGGGTCGTCACATAATTAGAAATCTACCATATTAGGGTTTTCCCCTCCTATATAAAGGGGACCCCAATCAGTTGTAAAGATATCTCATTCTCTACAATAGAACATTCTACTCTACTTTTGTTGTTTACCGTGCTCAACAATTGTTCTTCAGCTTTATTGCCTTTACTTTGTTGTTCATACTTGATTGCTCTTAGCTCACCTCGAGGTCCCTGAGATAATCGAGTTCGAGGTCCTTATTGCTCTAACAACATTGGTTTGGTTCATCAATTCTTCTTACTTAAACTTGATATTACTTGTATATCCACTAGTATTAGAATATATCACATCTTTAAAACCACAAATTATCTTTAATTGTTACTCACATTTTTCGAGGTAAACATATAGCCACAAATGTTATGACATGTTTAATATCGCAAGTTTCAATAGTGTTATACCCACAAAAATACTACTAACAAATCTAAGTCCATAACTTTCAAAAGTGTTACTTTCTTAAACTCCATATCAGATCAAATTGCATCAGGTAATAATAAAATCAGGATGGAGTGATTAGTAACATGGAAAAATACGTTTTGCCCATACCAAAACGTAAACTTTAAAATAGGCCAATGATGTCTCTATAGTCCATATCGAAATTTCGGAGAAAATGGCCACAAACAACCATGTTGTCATCTCATTGGCCTACTCATAATTTTCTCTGTCTATAAATATAGTTTATGTGTACATTCTTGGTGTACTGAGCCTTTGGTGCAGTAAAGAACGTACTGTTAATGCACACTACAGGTAGGTAACGGTAACTCATACTTGTATTTCAAGGGCTACTTTTCTTGGAATAATTATAGTTGCATCAACTTCTTTCTGTTGTTGTTGTTGTTTCTAGTGGGATTTTACTGGGTCGTTGTTGTTGTTGTAACTTCTTTCTATTGTGATTGGTTTTGTTATTTACAAGAACAGGAAGTGCATAATTATGTGTTAGGTATTTATCCTGATTTTCTTATCATATCTGGTTTTCTTATCTGTTGACAACATATTTATCATAATTTATTTTTTCCTTTTATCAAAAGGAAATATAATTCTTTTATATTTGGCTAGTTCTTATTCTTGGAAGAAAATATTTTGACTTCTATAAATTAAGGGTCTTTTCTTCTCATCAGTAGCATCCACAATGTAGCCATAAGGGGTTTGAGAGTCTTGTTCAGGGAGAGAACTTTTCGGGGCAAGTTTAGCGTGCCACTTGTGTTTGCATCTTTGTGAGGTTGTTCTCTCGATATTTTGTGCTTTCTTTTTATAATGGATTGCTCATCTCCGCCGTGGACGTTGGTCAATTGTCTGAACCACGTTAAATATTTGTGTCTCTTATGGTATATTTCTCTTCTGCTGTCTGATTTATCGTCGTCCAAGTGTTGTTTTACTAGCTTCCGCATGACACTTGATTATTTCGATCCTAACATTATTTTGTGTTGCTCTAATTTTCACTTTATCATCTTCTATCAGTTGAGCTGAATTCTCTGCTGTTTTCATTAGGTTGATCTTGCTTCTGGATCCAGCTGGAACAAGTTTCGAGCATGGATATGGTAAGAGAGAACCATAAAAAAGCAGGATTATTTGACAATTATAGCAGCTTGATTCGCAAATGTATATTTTCTGTGCTTTCGATAGGTCCTGTTCCAAGTCATATAGCATTCATTATGGATGGAAACCGAAGATATGCTAAGAAGCAGAATTTGCTCGAAAGGGATGGCTATCGTGCTGGATTTTCCATTCTTATAAACGTGCTAAGATATTGTTACGAGCTGGGGATGAAACACATAACCGTTTATGCCTTCAGCATTGATAACTTTAAACGACGCCCTGAAGAAGTTCAATATCTTATGGAGTTGATGCTAGAGAAGATCGACGAATTGATTGCAGAGGAGAGTATAGTGAACCACCTTGGTATTAGGATTTATTTTCGAGGAAACCTAAAGCTTTTGAGTGAACCGGTCAGATCAGCAGTTGAGATGGCGATGGCAACGACAGCCTGTAACTCAAAAGCTGTATTATCTGTTTGTGTTGCCTACACTTCAACAGACGAGATAGCACATGCTGTTCAAGAATCTTGTGAAGAAAAACAGGACGACATCAGAGAACGAGATGCAAGTAATGCTGGACATTACGCGCTTGAGCAACTTATTGGAGTGGCGGATATTGATAGGCATATGTACATGGCTGGTGTTCCTGATCCTGATATTATAATCCGTACTTCTGGAGGAACTCGCTTGAGCAACTTTCTTTTGTGGCAGAGTGCGGGTTGTCTTTTATATTCTCCTCGGGCGTTATGGCCTGAGATAAGCTTCTGGCATTTGGTATTGGCAATTATTTACTTTCAGAGGAACTACTTTTATCTGAAGGAAAAAAAGAAACAGGCATAAATTTACAGGTCTTAAACAACTCGTGATCATACTTCCGTTCTTGCCCTTTAAACGCGAGTATATATTGATTTTATCGTAGAGAAGGGTATATTTTGTACAATGTACTGAATTAGATTCAGCGCAGATCGAGGAAAATGTTGTACTAATAAGCATTTGTATGAATAAAATGTTCATTCACTTGTTTGTTTGAGAAATTGTGAATTGTTTTCTTGTAGCTTTTGAAATAGGCATATGCAAACCTTTTGGTCTAACATTCATTTCACTACACTTTTACTTCAGTCTTTCCTGAGGTCCTTCTGGTTTAAATCTGGCCATTGCTTTTTGTTGCAGAGCAAATTCATAAGAATCCATTGTCCAACTATGAGCTAACTCTTTTTTTTTTCTCCAGAAATCAAACGTTTGGTCTAAAAATAAAAGTAAAGCTAAAGGGATGCTTAAACGTCGAAAGTGCGCTCGAGAACGGTGAAAAGGAGAAGCCGGTCAAAAGCCAGCTCGACCAAGCTTTATCCAGGCGACGCCAGCTTAAAGCCAGGCCTTGGCTGGCGTTACCCAGGCGAGGCCAGCTTAAAGCCAGGCCTAGGCTGGCGTTATCCAGGTGAGGCCAGCTTAAAGCCGGGCCTAGGCTGGCGTTATCCAGGCGACGCCAGGCCTAAGGCCAGGCGTAATCCGAGTTTTGAAGGTTTTAATTGTTTCCCGGCTTGACTAGGAGTTGACCTACACGTTTAGGGCTTGTCCCAAACATATAAATAAACCCAAAAATGCCACTTTGTAGGATTTTTGCAACCAGAGGCAAGAACAGCTTGTGGAACACTACTTGGGAGTTGGAAACATTGATTTCTACATCTTTTTATCCTTACTCTGTAATTTAATTATGCAAATTACTCTGGATATTGTTACTATGAGCATGAGTAGCTAAATTCATAATCTAGGGTTTTGATGGAACCTGCTGAAGGATGATTTTCTCGTTATGTTACTATAGATTTGCCATAGTATTATTTCTATTTGTTCAACTATATGCTAATTGATGTTGATTGAAGAGCCCTCAATTAGCTGTTCCTATTTAGTGTGCATTACTCGGGAGAGAGTGTATATTTAGGTAGTTGTTGAACATCATCACTCCTAACGTATATGAGGGATCAATACGAAGGGTTTAAAGGTGGGATTAGGGATAATGAAACCTTGGGTGCGATCTAAGTGAGCTGTAATTAAAGTTAGCTAGCGTAATTCGGGAGAATATGTCTAGGATATTGTTGTAAATACTCGGGAGAGAGTTACTCATGATCGATAGAGAAGACTTAGGCAAATTTATAGCAAACATAGCGGAAAGGATTCCGACAAGAGGGGAAATCAGAACCTTAGATCATTCCCATTCTTGCTTACAAATCGTTCATAGTTAGTTCTTAATTACTGCATTTTCATTACGTAATATTTAGTTAAGAAACATCCAATATGTTACTTAAATATCTCCGAATATTGAATACGTGAATTTCTGTGAGTCCAATAGCTGTGATTGATAGGTTAATTCCCTGTGGGATTCGACTCCGGACTTGTTAAACGGAATATTTTCCCTGGCTGAGAGCTCAAGCAGATGCAAAGTCAGGATTTGAAGTTTATGGGTTCTGAATTTGCCATGGAACACATAGCTCGTCTTTGTCACTGGGTTCGCAATTATAAGTTTATACATATTTAATGAATTTCTTAATAAAAATACAGTATCTAAGGAAAAATGACTGGCTCGGCTGAACGCACACCTAGTAGGCTCACTCCGCCCCTGAGCTCATATCAGTGCATCAACACTCCTCTGTGATAATAGGTAGCATTATTGGCTCGGCGACCTCTTAGTCCTTTTTATAAGGCATAGTTGAGCGTGATCAATAATGCTACCGATTATCACAGAGGAGTGTTGATGCACTGATATGAGCTCAGGGGCGGAGCGAGCCTGCTAGGTGTGGGTTCAGCCGAGCCAATCATTTTTCCTTAGATACTGTATTTTTATTAAGAAATTCATTAAATATGTATAAACTTATAATTGCGAAACCAGTGACAAAGACGAGCTATGGGTTCCATGGCAAATTCAGAACCCATAAACTTCAAATCCTGACTTTGCATCTGCTTGAGCTCTCAGCCAGGGGCGGCCCGATGAATTTTGTGGCCTAAAGCCAAACTTTATGAGGGGTCTTAACTTTTTTTTTAAAAAAAAATTATTATTATTTTATTTGAAGTCTATTTTTCTGTTTCTTTTAGATGCAAAGTTATTAAAAAATTATAATCAATTTCTTCCATTAAGTCTTTCTCAATTGACAATATAGCTAATCCATTTTACCTTACTTGAGACATTGTTGATCTTAGTTATGATTTTATCAATTTTAATTTTGAAAACTTCTTTCCGGTGAAGTAACGATAATGTGGTTTATTGACATTATTCTATAAGCAATATATGCATTTGAAAAAATATTAAATATTTTTATTTGAGTGAGTATACCAATTAAACTATTATCTTATAATTATACTCTTTTTCTTAACACTTTTAATTTAGAAAATAAATCTAAACCACCAATATCAGATTGATTATTATGCTTTAAGGAAAATTCAAGATAGGCAATATTTTTCTAAATTTTATTCATCTAGTGATCTCATTTTGTTTAACGCTAAATAGAAAACTAAAAATATTTTCATATGCTTCGAATTGTTCAAATATATTTTGAAGTGAGAATATAGCCTTGTCTACTATTATCAACTCTGAAAGACCCTTCGTGGGATTTTGAGATTTTATTATCAACATTCTCATCAAATTGTTTCTTTCTATAAATCACACGTTTCTTACGAAATTCGGGTTCGATATCTATTTCAAATACAATTTCCTTGGCAGAAATCATAACAGTGGTAAATCCTCCTTCTCTATATTTAAGAAAAAATCAAAATTTTTCACTTCACAGAACTTCTTTTTTAGCTTATATATAGTCTATTAGGTGTAACAAAAAATAGGGCCTCCACTAATGTGATACCAAATACTGCTTCCGATCCATATCCTCGCGCAATTCATGTTGCGTTTGCTCCATCACAACTCGAAGATCTAATTGTCGAGCTCTCATATTCTCGTACTGTTTTGGTAAATCCATAGCTGGATTGCCAATTACCATATCTACGACTTTTCGAGCTCTGATACCAATTGATACCAATTTATTGGTATTGAGGTATCGAGAACAATCAGAGAAGAGAGGAAGAGGGAAATAAGATCAGAGGAGAAGAGATATTCAGGGGATAGAGACACAGAAGAGAGGTTGAGAGAGAAGAGAGGAGATATAAGGGAAAAATCTGAATTATCATTACTCAATGAAATTACGATGTAGTGGTAGTCACTTTATACTCCTAACTAATCTCCCGTGAAGTATGCTGAAAATGAAATAAAAGGGAATTGGAAATTAAACTAAAATCTAACAAACTTTTTCGCCAGAATGGCTCCCACTCACTTAAGCTACTTTTGAGCTAAGTCTCTAATTTTTGTATCAATACCCCCTGTTGAGCAGCATCCTTGTTCTCAAGGGTGGTAAATATAGAATTGAAGCCACCAGGATCAAAAGGAAATTTCAAAAAATGTTCTCCAAGCTTAGCACGCAGAACCCGATTACTTCTGGTTAGATCTTGATACAAGGAGAATGGATAATATATGTCTCATCCAAAAGCTTTGCTCCACTCCTTAATGGTTATCTTAACAGGAAAGTCCACCGTTCTGCGATAGGAATACACTTTCCAGCTCAATTGTATAATCATTTGGTGTAGAAACATCAGCGTTGCTCTAGAATCACTCAAGTAACAGAACAACATGAAGGAGCCGCCTGGATCAAACGGAAATTGATTTGGAAGACCTTGAATTCCAGGTGTTGCAGCAAGCGAGTAACTCAATTTCATAGCAAGGAGACACTGATCCTCTACATTAATTTTAAACATAGACCAATAGAAAATGTCTAGTTGCTTATGCAGAAAGTATAGTGCAAGTTTCTTCACCAACAGAAGAATAATACGAACATCATTAGCGTTGCAGTTGCTTCCCAATGTTGGACTATATGAGGGAATAGGGAAGAATGATGTCACATATCCAGTGAAGCTGCATGTTGCTGGTGTAAATTCTTTAAATGTTGCAGTTTTTGGAAATGCAACCCAACAGCTTGGTTCTCTAGGCCAATCAATATACCACCTGGGTCAAAAGTGAAATACAAACCATGCACAACACCATCCCTTAAACTAGCATAATCATTGGTGTTTGACAAAAAAATATGTAGTCCAACCACCTCAACTCTAGATATTGTAATCAAATTCCTCGCAAATGCAACTTCCAAAATGTCCCCCGACACAATATCCCTGATGGGTTGTCAATGTCTTGGTCTTATATTTTGATGATCTAACAAACTTACTATCAAGAACCAGAAAGGGAACCTGACACACTTGGTACACATTACAAATGAACGGATTCCAGCCAGGACTCCAGCTAATGTGAACTGCTGCAAGTGTAGAAAATAGAGAAACAAGTCAAGGATCTGATCCCTTGTGTTTCCCTGACAGCAGTACTAAAGTCAACTGTACACAGCTGGAAAGTGACTGCCACAAAATAGTGCACACAGTGCAGCAGTTCTGCAGTCACTTGCCCTTTGATCTACCAAGTGCTTACATCATTCAAGTGATGTCATAAAGGGTGTATTAACAAGAGCATTATAATAAACATCACTTAAACACTTGAGAATTCACTTCAAGTATACAAGTCTTCTGCAAACAGTGAACTTCATTCTCAAGAGCTTGAAGAACAAAGTTAAATGCTACTACGGATCAGTTCCTAAATCGAGTATTTTGTTGTCCTTAGTTGAGTTGTAACTTTGTGATTGTTCTTGTTGTAATTCCTAAATTGCTTAGCTAGAAGCGTTGCTTAGGAACCCCTTTGTAAAACCATAAACTTTCTGAGTTTGTGTTGTGACTAGAGTTAGTCTTAAGTTAAAAGTCTTTATAACTAGTGAGTGACAAAGTGGCTTGTGGTAAGTGTATCACAAGTTAGTTGAGTTGAAGTCTTTGTAATAGAGTCATTACAAAGTGGGTTGTAATAGAGTGTTTATAAGTTAGTGAAGTTGAAAGCCTA